GTGGCGGATCAGCAGAAGACAACCCATCGAACTTAGCGAACAACCATTTTAATCAGGTTGGTTTCATGACAATAATTATAAAAACAGACTTTGATCACAAGGTTTTTTATTTCGCGTGTGACGGTTCACCTAAAAAAGGAGACAAATTTCGCTACAGTTGAACTAAGAGTGAACGTCAACTTTTATTGCTTAGTTTAAAAAAATAATAAAGAAAACTACTGCTTTTGTTTTGTATGTTGTAAGGTTTTCGCTTTCAGGGGTGCCTTAAATTGAAACTTTTACGACTCTGGTGCAGCAGGAGGGAGAGCCGAGCAAATAGACTGGATTCAGCTTATGAAGTGATGGGCAGCAACTTATAATCAAGATTTTAAGTCACGTTCACTAATTTCAGAATATTTACGAAACTTAAGCATTGCATTAATGAAAAGACGTCTTCGCCTTTCCTAGGGTGTCAGCGAGGGTGGTTTTGAATGATATCAGTTTAAAATCGCTTATCGTTCATTTGAGGTAATTTTGGTTACTAGTTTTATTGGTGTGTAAGAAGTTTATGTAACGCATGATTCCTCAACTGTACTTTAACAATTGCTAATATTTTAAAAGTCAATAGTAAATCTTCTTATTTTTATCCCAACATTTCGATCAGTTTGTAGAAAATGGGCCCAGACCTTTGTTAAACAAGTGTACTCCAGTACCGCAATCATTTTCGTCCAACACTTTACATCGTGCTCTCTCATGCCTGGAGCGATAAGCTTCCTTAGTTTATGAGCAACCAATGAAAACTGTTTAAATTGCGGCAAAAACTGAAGTGTCAGTGAGAGAAGTGTTTTTGCGAAACATTTTGGTAACTGAGTGTTTGGTCGATTCTGGGAAGTGCTTCGTTAATCACTTTTCTTGTGTGGTCAATAGGCTCGATTACCTGAACCGCTGTTCGCGAGCCAACAGGCAGGCAAGCAGTTCTACGGTCAAACTCCCGCTTTACGGACACAGGCTTAATACGGACACCTCATTATTACGGACAGTTTGCTGTGTCCCTCGGGGAAGGAAAGCCCTTACATTTTCTCTAAATTCAACCCGCTTTATACCGACACCCCGTTAATATGGACGCTTTCTTTTAGAATGGCAAGTTTACCAAGTAGCCAAAAAGGTTTCACTTCAGTACAGCTAATCATATTAACAAATATTTTCACTTATAAATATTAATATAAATTATATAAGATCGTGCATAAAGCTTCTGACCTCAACCTCGCATAAGGCAGCAGAATCCAGTTTCACTTTTTTCGAACTCCTTGGTGAAAAGAAAACGAACGAAACTGGTTTGAAAAATCGCTTAGTGCGACATTGTAAATTGTAATTGTAAATACCTTATTATCCACTCCCCTCAGGGCTTTTCAGGGATAATTTACAACACTGGCTGGGGGACTTTGCCAGACTGCTTAAGGTGCAGTTTGCAAGTAATGAAGGAATGAGTAATGATGCCCCCATACATGAGTGTGAAACTGAGATATAGTGCAGTGAGATTTTTCTCTACTCTATTTTAAAAATTGCCTTGTAGAGTTTCAAAGTAAAATCACAGCATATTAAAGTTTTCCGTAGAATGAGGCGGGATTTTTTAATATTCCAACCAATCTCATTAGTTCGAAGGGAACTTGCCTGGTTCAGACCTGTTATATCCACCCACAGCTTTCATTTTCGTTCCACATCAGCCATGCATGATGTTTTTCCGGGTCGTGGACAAAACTCTGACCCTAGTCCATGTACTACCGATATGGACTACCCTAAAATGGACTTTGCCGCTGAAGCCCTGATCCGGTGCATGATCAGGGTTAGGAAACTCAAAGAATCACTGAGGTTCCATTTAGGGCCATTATACTGGAAACACTGACCTGAAACATGATTCACTCAGTTTCCTACCCCTAATCACTAAACTTCAGCGGCATACTCCATTTTTATGGATGCCAAAGCCAGAGGCTTCCAAAATTCTCTGACGTCTTCCTCACAAATATATAGCTTAATTTCCCTAACCAAAGAAATTAACAATTTCACAAATTAGTCCTGACAATGACCTTACACGCTTCCCTCTGTCTAACTTTGAAAGAGAGCATCAGGTCCCATGATATTTTCCTGGTATTTTTAACCCGTACGCGCAAGGATAAAAGTGAATGTTGAATTCTCTCAGAATGCCACAAACATTACTGGTTCCAACCTTAGGAGGAGAGGCTTTTACTCAAGGAACAGGCAAAGTTTCATCTAAAGTTCGCTCCTACGTATTTAGAGTGCGGGGAATCCCCGCGAAGGTTTTTTCGCTTGTTTCTTGGTTACAAATCATGACAGATAATTAAACAAGTCACTGGGATTACATACTTAAAAGCCATTCTAATCTTAAAATCTTAATGCGATGGAAACGAAAAGAAGTGGCATGTTTTATATAGGGTACACGGTATTTTGAATATCATAATTAAATATTTATTACACTCACTTGACCATGTTTGGATATCACAACATGACATCACGAACAGGTATCAACTCACTTAGGCTGATCATTAATTATTTATTCAACGATATGTTGAATAAAATATGTTAAATTGGCCGCTAACACTCGTGCGATGATTTTCGCTTACTAGTCGGGTACACAGGAAACCAAAACGTGACACCCACGAACAACTTTGTCCGATTTTTGCCAACATACCTATTCTGACTAACTTGAGTACGCTGATTAAGAAAATCATATTGTTGTCAAGCTCAATTCTTGTGTTAAGGTGAAGTTTTGGGCATTTCACTACGACGTCATTGTCCACAAAAGGAGTTCTATCCTTTAACAATTCTAAGTTTATTACAGACAAAAAATCTTTTAAAGCATTACAAGTATATTGTAAAGTTTATTCTAAGAACTGATGACTGATTTTACGCCGCTTACATTAATATCCAGTCATTACGTGACACTTGACCACGCCCTCTAATAGAAAAATCAATTTTTATCTTGTACGATTGGTTGAATCTTAGTAATTTTACAATTCACTGTGACGTTATCAAATTAAACATAACAGAACATTGCTTCTTACTGTCAGTCAAGTGTTCCGCAGCTAGTGGTGTACTGGCATGAAACCAACTCCAGACAAGCCTCCGGGATTGAATTGAGGGTCATAAAGACAGACCAAAAGATATTCAGCTAGCGTGTAGCCGCTGTCTCCTCTGGGTTCGGAAGCACTGGTTTCGGAATGTGTGCCTGACGCCAAACCATAGTGTAAAACAGTATACCACTTCAGTTCAACAGGTTCTGTAAATACCGGGACACTCTTGACTTACACGACATCAGCTAACTGTAGTTGGTGCATAATTGTTCAGGCCAGGTATTACAAGGGTGGTCAGTTTTGTCGGCAGGCCTCAAGCTCGCCTAACGCTTTGTTTTACTTGGGTCTCTTTGCCAAGCAGCTACCTGTGTTACGTTGAAGATGTTCTTTCCATCTAGTGACGAATCGTTGTTGACAATGTTATCAGCTGTGAGCTTCGTGAAATTGCCCGGGTTTAGATTTGGTGGGACAATGGTGCCGTTTTTCTGAGATATGTCCAGGATTAAACTCCCTCGACGAAACAGCAAAAATAACTAATATTACGAAATTTTGCAAGGCCATGGACGAAAAGTGATGAGGAATGGAAATGAGGTTGAGAAGGCCGTCGACGAAACAGCAAAAATTACGAAAACTACTAAAAAAAGTCGAAAATAACAAATATTACGAAATTTTGTGAGGCCATGCATGAAAAATGACTACGAAAATAATATAAATGAGGTCGAGGAGACACCGAAAATTACGAAAACTACAAAAAAATGCGAAAATAACAAATATTACGAAATTTTGCTAGGCAATTAACGAAAAGTGGAAAGGAAATGTAAATGAGGTCGAGGATATAATGAATGACCAAGGGACTGACCAAATACATTCGCTATAACGAGGTTTCCTTATATTGAGGTTCTTTTTCATATATATTTTTACTATAACTGGGGCGAAGAATATTGTTCGTTACACCGAGGAGTTTCTTATGTACAGGTTTGTTAAATCGCGGTTCCACTCTACAGTCCTGGCTTTAAAGAGTCAAGATATAGAATACTGTGGTTCTGAGTTTTACTTTGGTTTTTTTACAATGTACAATAGTTAGGGAAACACATTTTACTATTTTATTTTATTATATGGCAAAAGGGCCATTATTAGTTGCCTGTAAATGAGCAACTCAGAAGCAAAACAAGGACATCAAAAAGATTTTGAGCTTATTACACAAAGGAAGAGTTTCTGTTTGAAAACAACTGCATTTAAAATGTTAAAAATGTTGTGAGTTCAATGTGTAACATGGCTATAGCTCATTTTAACCTCCCATTTGCACAAAAAAAGTGATATCATTGTCAAATACAGAACATTATTTAGACCCTGTTTACATGGAGTGGGGGACCCCGGTCTAGTGGGGTAAGTTTCTTTTGTTTTGTGTCCCCCAGAGCGTGAAAACAAAAGAAACCAACCCCACTAGACCGGGGTCCCCCACCTCATGTAAACAGGCCCTTAGTGATTATTCGTCTGACAGGTGTGATCAATATATTATTATTTAATTTTGTTGACTGTGTGGATTGCACATGTAAGAACTCAAAGGAGAAAAAGTGTTTCAAACACCATATAAATATATTTTATATCACAATCATTCATGATTAATAGTTTTTAAGATTATTGATCAATGAATATGGTGTTTATAATTTTAATGATTAAAAAGAGATAAATAAATTTTTATTACTGAAAATAAATAGAAGGACTACCACGCCCTAAAGTAGGCGAAATATGAAAACACTTTTCTCTTGAAAATAAAAAGTCCAAAGAGACAATAATATAGTGTATAGACAGTTGAGAATTAAACTTAAAACTATAAAAGACAGATAAATATCTTATTTCGAGAAATTTTGACGAGAGTCAAAAAATGAATAGTTATTGTACACTTAATACACTCCAGTAAAATCACGGCTGTTACTTCCAAACTCTGACTTGTCCTTCCCACCCACAACTAGCAACACAGTTTGGCAGGGTGGGGTGGAAAGCAACATCCATACATGGCACAGAGTGAGCCTGTAATGTTCTCACCATGTGGGATGTGTGGTGATCATAAAAATATATTTGTCCATCTGCAGAACCAGAGGCAATGATTGAACCATCAGGGCTAAAATCACACCCAATGTGATATCCACTCACCTAACAATAAAATGTTAATCCAGAATTTAATATGTATGCATTATTAACCACTTGTGAAGTCAAGATACACTGTATCTGGATATTTGCCAAGTTTTCCTTGTGTTTTTATGGGCCAAGATGAAGTCGAGGTAAAAAAAAAAACACAAAAGAGAACGAGGCCAGTATCCAGCCATCTTGACCAAACAAGCTTGGTCAATAAAGGTTCCCATTAGGAGAACTTTTTCTTGCAGGACTAACTGGGAAATCACGAATGGGCAAGATGGGCCATCTTAGGTTCATGCCTGGTCAGTAACGCAAAATAATATCTCATCTGCTTCATGGTTCACAAACATTAATCCTAACTGTCTGGTTGTACACTTTTATAGAACAAAGAGGAAAGGATTGAGATTGATCACGATTATTGCTATGATTATCTCATAACAAGAAAGACATGATTAGAATAGACCCCTTCAAGGTATTTTCAACTTTAAACATGGACCAGTCAGGAAAAATCCGTTGACACCATTGGAAAGAGCGCCTTAAAATTGGTAATATTCCCAAGTTTTAAAGTGGTACATATTAAGTGAGCAAGGATATACCTCCACAAAGTTGCCAAAATTTACAGACATTTGTATAGCTGGTGGCAAGTTTGTGCCCCCCCCCACCCCCAACAATACAAATGTCTGTAAAATTTTAGGACTTTGAGGACCTATATCTTCATTAGTTTTCAACAAATCATTTGCAAACTTGGCGATTTTACAAATTAAAAAGTCCTCTTAATTTCCAGCAGAATGGATGGATTTTCCCTAACTTGTCCATGTCAAAAGTTGAAAAAAACTGTGGAAGAGAATATGGAGCCCATGTCATCTGGCTCACTAACTAGTTAGAGTCTACACACAAGTGTTTTGAAATTCTAATCATACACATAGAAAAAAGTTGCTTGGCACTCTCTTTATTGTTTAAGTGTATAGTGCTGCTGTTTTAGGCTTAAGGGTGCTTTAGGTTAAGTTTTAAGTCTGTCATCATTTATATTAAGAAAAAGATGACTTTATAGTAGACTATTCTTTTACAATGTAATCTCAATCTATTTTTACAAAATTAATGAAGTTGTTTACAATACAGTATAAATAATAATAAAATGAAAATCACGTAGTTGTGTTGTCTTTGAAGTCTTTATTTAGATACGTATTTACGTATTTTATTTATTTGCCACACAATTACAATAATTACTTAAAGATGCCAAAAGAAAAAAAAATGTAGGAAGAGATGGCGAGGAGGCCTAAAAGAAACTATGGAGCTTATGTTAATTAGGCCTCCTCAATTACAATTTTTCGAAGATGGCATAAAAATTACGGCGACGGGTACAATATAATATCAGGTGAAAAATTAAACTAATCAATATTACGGAAGTTTACAAATGTTGAATATTAAAAGGCTTTTTCCCAAGATTTTTGTTGAAGTATACTAATAATTATTACAAATAAATGCCTTACGTGCTCTTTTAAAGGAGAAAGACACATCAGATACTAAGTTATTATGAAGAAATGATGAAGAGGCAGATGAGCAGAAACAAGAAAAAATTGCACATTAAAATGCTGAAAGTGCAACTACTCTATTGTGCCATGAATGAACACTGCTGTAGTGTTGATTTGGGGCAATCCTGGAGGTAGGGGATTTGCCCTCTTTATTTGTCCCCACTGTAGGGCATTTAGCTCCTTTAGTGTCCCTGCCCAGTTTGCCGTCCACAATAGGGGGAGGGGTATGGGTGCCAATGGAAATGACTGTATAGTATAAAGTGTAACCCATTTTCTATGGGATTCATTATTTATAAATAACAGAAATTGAATATAATACCTTGTGGCCCTCATATCTTTTGAACTTGTTTAGCTTGTATGGCTTCCTTGTTGAGAACAAAGCAATGTAATCTCCATTGGACTGGGCCACAAAATGAGCTTCATGAGGATGGACTTTTAAGCAAGTACAAGTGAAGGCTTCCTGGACGACAACAAAAAAATTGAAGATAATTATTTTATTTCTCTCAAGTGTGAGATTCCAACTCTAATAGTAGGTTTATATGCGCAATGCTATGATTCATAATAACTGTCTTTATCAGTCAAATTATGTTTGATTGTTCAAGAGATCTTTATGTCACCTCTAGAGAACTGCCATTAGACAACAGTTTTCTCATATGCAGTAACAAAAAACATGTTTTGAAGCAGACAATGTCCTGCTTATGTCCTGGGAGAGGACACTCCACCATGGGCTTCAACCCTCTACCCTTTTATACACCATTTTTGACAGAAATGGTACCTCTTTCATATACCTTCTATTGACAAATGTTACCCCTTTCACATACCCAGTTTAGAACACTTCAACTGTTGTAAATGCACCATCCTTCTAATATGTGTAAACAACAAAACCAGGAAGTTGTCTTATCTCTTCACAGCCATAAAGTATACATCTGTTGGCCCTTTTTGTCTTTTCACAGGGCAAAATGACAAGTTTTCTTACACAGGGTTCGCAAATACGCCAAATTTGGTGTATTTTACAGCAAACTTGTTCAGATGACTCCACAAAGGTTACGGAGGGAGTTACCTCGACTCCAGAAATATTAGGTAACAAACAGGGAGCCACTTTGACTCCAGAAATTTTCGGTAACAAACACACTTTTGTCCTTACCTTTTACGCAACAAATACAATTTATGTTGATTGTAAACCTTGTAAACCTTAATTAAATCATCAGAATTAAAGAATTATACTGCACGACAAAACAGGAAGAGGGTAAATTTTAATACGATCAAAGGTTAGTCGATGACCGCCATCATGGATTTGAGCTTTCCAGGTCAGCGGACCGCCACAGCTGCTTCGCGTATTCCTCACGATAGTGTATACATGCCAGGACCACGTGCTGGAAAGTCGGAAAATGGCTTCTTTTGTTGTGATACTTGACTCTAAATATTCCAAAATGACTCCAAAATTTGCGAAGCAGAAGTCACAGTGACTCCACTCATCAATAAAATTTGCAAACCCTGCTTACATCAACCAATGAAATCCCTACCTTCTCGTATATCTGAAGCCTGAAAAAGGTACACGTTTGAGCAGAGCTCTGGTATAGGCCATTACAGGGAGTACCCCCTGGAGAGGCTAATGAGCACTTTGGTCCCATTTTCAGGAAGACAATGGTGACTTTGTGTTTTCTTCAGAACTTATGAACAGAACAATCATACTGATTAAATAGGAAAACCCTGTTCCCAAAATGATATAAATAATGCATATTTGCATTTCAAATAGGAGGGATTAATGCTGAAGACAGACCTGATAGATTTGATTGGATAATACTACAGTTGATCTGAAATCCCAGACCATGATTCCTTTGTCCGTAGAATTTCTCTTGACCACTTCAGCAGCAGAAACAAACTCATCTCCTCCAGAAAGAAATGCTATGTCTTGTACTTGGCCAAAAAGAGCAGAGTATGTTGATGTGATCTGTGAGGGAAATTTATAAGAAAATGTTGTCTTTTTGTTTTAAAATCTTATAAGTTTGTGTCCCAGTCTGCAACCTTCTTACAAAAAAACTGTTCTTACTTGGCATTTTTATTTCACCAGTTATGACTATTTTTTTCCTATTGAACAGTATTTGGCGTACAATGTAAAAATAATTAATTTGTTCAAACAGTTCAATGGAAAACAGTTTTCTTTTGCAAGTGATGTAAAAACATAGATTATGTACAACAGCAGATTCCAGGCCTCAAAATAATGGCCATTCAACAGACGATGTCCAGCCAAGATGGCCATTTGTCTGAACAAACATTTGGTTTACTGGTCATTTTGACTGGACACATAAACAAGGGACCAGAAAAAAAATATATTTACACAGCATTACGTTTCAAGGGGACAAACATCCTTTTACTCTATGTTTTAGCTTGTTGGGGTAGGATATTCTTGTTATTATCGTATTTTTTTAACATTATAACTGGCCAGAAGAGAGACGTGACTGAGATAACATTTCTCTGGTGGGTCAGCATGACCGCCAGAAGTCCCCAGCAATCTTATTTTGAGCCCTTAGATTCTATTTCATGAGTTAAGTGGCACTCTGAGAACAGTTTGTTAAAAAATATGCATTCTGTAGACTTACATTTCCAGTTCTTGTATCCCAACATAGGATGGCAGATTTGAAAGTCCCAGACAAAAATAACGCTGGATCTGTTGGGTGAAACTGGACACAGGTAGCAAAGTTTTTGTGAGGAAATTTAATGATTTCTTGACCTGAAAAAAAAATAATAAAGGTAGAGCAGATTAAACTACACCTTCTACAAATGAAAACATTGTCTATTTGTCGATACTATCTTGCTGTTTTGAGAGATCCACAATGTTTTTTTTAATTAGGATTTTCACCTTCAGATTTCAAGTTTTTAGGGTAGAAGGAGAATGTGGGGTGAGAAGAGGGGAAAGTGACTGGGGGAGGAAGGGTTAGCACAGTTGGCTAGTTAGTGCACAGCCTTCTGTGTGGGAATTCCCTAGTTTGATTCCCAGGTGTGACCTCAGATCCTTCTTTCACCTTCTTTCCTTTCCGTGTAGCTTTCCGTAGCTTTAAATACCCGTAAAATGAAGCAGTAATGGAGGGGGGGGGTAAAGCGAGTGCACCATTGGCCTCAGGTTGGTTAATCATATGGCTATTTCGAGCTACTGACATAAAATAAAGACTCTTTACCTTTTTTCTTTACCCTGATTCACTCCTGAGCTATCCCATCAAAGTGCACATTAGGTTAGTAATGTAATTATTTAATTGTGTTTTATGCACATGTCATAGCAGGGTTCACCATCTTCGGTGGCCTGGTAATCCGTGGCGAGTACACATGATGTTGGGCCATTAAAATTAATGTTATATGTCAGATATCTAAGGGTGTGGGAAAGCAGTAAATCCCGATGACTTCACAGTGGTTGCTGTCTACTATTTTTACAAAATTTTGAATTCCCCGATCCCTTTTGTTCAAATTAAAATTATTTGTGAAACTCCCCCTCCGCCAGTTGTAGAGAACTATTCCCCGACATTCATCGCCCTGGTTAGCTCCAGTTCCTACCCCTGGGACAAGCCAATGACATGTGCATGATCTTCAAACTACAGACATGATTCACATTACCTGTTTCCAAATTAGAAAGTCTAGCAGTTTTGTCATAACCACAACTCAAGATTTTCTCTCCACATAAACTCCACTTGGAGTCTTTCACTGCTGCTGTATGATGTGTAAGTCTCCTGCGGCATGTACTCCCACACGAAGTGTCCCATACACAGACCAAGTGATCCATTGCTGCAGATAATAACAGGTTACCTTTAGTTGGGTTCCAATACACACAGTTCACTCCTTGCGAATGACCTTCAAAATTTAAATGCAACTGTTTAGGCGGCCGGCATGCGCGAGCTAAATGTTTTCCATCTGATATTTCACAAGGTCTGTTAGGTTGCAAATCGACTTCCTTTATAGAATGATCAAAATTAGACTTCTCCGCAGCTAACTGACATTTAAGTGGAGAAGAGGAACTACCAGGTAAAGCTGTTTGTGCCAATTTTTCTCTTTCCCTCTTTGAGATGTAAGGTTTTACTCTTCTGCCTGATATGCTACTCGAATTTGAATGCTTATATTGAGTCAATGAACTGTTGAAAGCTGGGCTTTTCTTTTCTTGGTTAGAATTACTCACTGGAAACTGTGGCTCACTAAAAGTTCTTTGTAAAACAATGGAACCATGATCATTTCTCAAGGAAGTTTGTTTTGATTTAGAATAACTATACTCATTGAGCCCAAAAGCATTTTTTGGTTCAAGAAACGGCCCCATCTGATTATTATATGTCTGTATGCCGCTTTCTGTTGCACAAACATCTTTGATTTCTTGGTCTTTTCCCTGGTCTGTTCCTGGAAGCTTCACTTTGCGTTTCTTGAGGTTTTGTTCATCTTTAGTAATTCTATCGCTTTCTTCGTCCGAACTGCTATTATACGCAAGGAGACTTTCCATCCTTCTTTATGTCTGGCTCCAAATCCAGGAAACACAACAAATGAAAGCAAAAGAAGACGACACTTTTACCGCCATTTTGGACAACGTTTGCTCGTTCGTGGGACTTCTCTCGTGGGAGACTGGAATCTACTGACGTCACGAAAAGCTGAGCCAATAGTCACGCAACGAGTCAACGCAAAATGTAGAAATCCAGGGGGGTCACTGCAACTCCTGCAACACAATGCGAATCCTGGACTTAGCTACAGAATTCCTCCCTAACAATGGGGATCTCGAGGAATCCCTATTAAAAATTGTTGACAGCAGCAATAAACACTACATCAAGGATGCTCTTTGGAAGAGGCAGCTCATGAAAGTCCAAATGAAAACTCTCCTTGTGAGTTTGGACGAGGACGGATTTTGTACAAAAGGGAGTTTATCCAACGTTGTTTGTAGCCTGTTTGTTCAGTACTTTGCCAGTGGGAACTATGGATTTGTAAAGATATTAAACTGGAATGATCTGATTGATCAGGAGATTGAAAGCACACGAGAGCTACTGAAGGAGGCCATCTCTATTCTCAATAAGGTTCATATTTAAGCTTACTTACAACTCTCATATGTATGGGCCTTAAAAATTAGGGAGCTTCTCTTTTCAGCGAATGTCTAATGAGCCTCTTTTAGGTTGAGAAGGGCAATAATGCTTTCCATTTATTTTTATTATTATTATAATTTTCTTTTTCTTCTGCTTTTTTGTTCCTGTTTTATTTTGGGGAGGGGTGGGGGTGTTAAGGGGATCATTATTAGGGGTTGGGAAAGCAAGACTGGTGTATGGATACTTTCTTAAATTGGCTACTTTTCTAACCTTCCTGTAAAGAGCTGAAAACTGATGGGGTGCTCTAAAAAGCTTTAGATGGGGAGGCTCAGTGTTCCAGGTGGTCAATTACTTGACAAAGAAAGCTTCCTGACGCGACAGATGACATATAAGTCTTATGTTACATATAACGAAAAAAATTAGCATGTGGTCTTGGTGACACCTCAGATGGTCTTTATGTCTCCCCACTTGAAAGAATTAACTAAAACACTGGAGGCTCAGTGCCCCGAGGTCCAACCCCTTGTCCTTTGCTTATACGATTTTTGACAGAAAAAGGTGCCCCCTTCGTATTCCTTCTATAAACAAATGGTACTCCTTTTACATACTTACTTAGAACTTTACATCCCTGCTATAAATGCCTTGTCTAGGTTAAAATATAAATAAATCACACAACCAGAATGTTTATCTTCAAAATGAATTTGTTAGCCCCTTTTACAGACCAAAATGACAGATCTTCCTACCCTTTCATATACCTCAAACAGTGGATTCCCCACACTTTCATATACCAAAGGCCTTAAAAAGGTACCCCATTCTGGGTGGAGCCTACGTGTCCATTATAGGGAGAGGCCCTATCAGGCGGGGTCCCATGTCGCCCATCTGAATTTTAAAACGTCTCGTGTCGGTGTTTATAAATGCTTGTCACTTATTGTCGGCTTTGCCGTCTCTGTTGCAATTTGGCCGAGGGAGGTTGTCTCTTGTCGCGATTTCATTTTACGTGCTGTCTTGGGCCATGTCGCTTGTCAGAATTTACCCTGGCAGGGCCTCTAGGCTGTGTTGAACCTGACAGATATAGTGCATTGAAATCCCAACTAACAAAGGCAGCATTGAGTAACATTGAATGTGATAATAATCAAAGAAGGAAAAAATGAGAAATATCTCTTCATCTCTTGTATTGTTTTCTTGTATTTTCCGCTATATTGACAAATTGTTTTTAGGAAGTCCTCAGATTTATGTACAGTTATAACTGTACATAATTAGATTATAAAGATTATAAATTCTAAATGGTTATATCTTGTAACATAACATTTCATTTCCAATTTTTGCAGTATGCCCAGCAAAGTGGACATGAAAGGTGTAAGGAAATCTTCAGTGTTGTGACCAAGAATCATAGACTGAAATTAGCTGGCAAACGTGGCTGGTCTCAACAATCCAAGTGTTTATATTCGACAGGATTTCGCCTTATAGATACCAAGGCCTCTTCGATTTCAAGCGACATTTGTCTCCTTGTTTATAAACCTGATTTGATTCCCAATTTTCAAGTTGAGGATGGAGTGGTAAGAGATTATGTGGAAACCTCTGCTGTTTTAAACATTTGTGAAGATCTCATTTCTTCCCTAAGTGTTTCAGAAGAAGGAAGACAAGAAGCCCAGTGTATTCAAAGCTGTATGAAAACAGTAAATGAAAGTTCAACTTTGATGTTAAATACAGTCCGGTCTTCTTTTCCTTGGAATGGTAATATATTATTGCATTTACATTTTAGTAAATTTATGTTTAGGAGACGGCATGGCAGAGTGGTTGCCAGTCACCTGTGGTAAAATCATTGTGTAGTCACTAGGTGGGGTTGTTCTTGCTATAGACTTAAGTTCTATGCCTCAATCCTTTTAAATACAAAGCAAGATGGCCTTCTCTTACTTAAATAGGGTGTGTTTGATTGGCTGTGTATAATTCAAGAAAATGATATAAGTATTAATAGGGACTTCTAATAAACTCATCCATTGGGACTTTTGACTTTTGACTCCATGTGATTTCTTGGAATTGTGAATTTCAAAGGTGTTTTGCCACAATTTTGTATTGATATTGACAGTTTCTTTTTATGAGTATTTTACTGAAGTTTTGTGTGTAGCTGTTTATAAGATTTTAATAAAGCATTTTGACATATTAAAAAATGAATAAACTCTTGACTAGAAATATGATTAATTTGTTTTGGTATCCATTGTATAATTTGTAATCTCTAAAAATCAAATCAAATCAAATGCACCTTTAATATGTTAATTTAAACATATTTTTCTGTCCCTATTGTGGGCCACAGTGTAAAAAAAAGTTGGTCAGCAGAAATTGCAAAAGTCAACAATATTAAAGCACTGATCAGTATTTTTTTAACATGCATATAATGTAATGAGTAACAAAAACATTAAAAGTTTTCAAAAACTTTTTTCTATCTTATTAAAGGATTAGCAGGTCCCTCTCCTGATAATCAAGTTGTTATTGTTGGTGGAGGTTTAGCAGGCCTTAGTGCTTCATTGTCGCTGTCTAAGGCTGGGTTTGATGTGGTTCTGTTAGAGGCTGCTAACTACCTAGGTAGGTTGATTGCTTTGACCTTTTCTGTGCTTTGAATATGCAGTATTTTACTTATGCCAGTAATACTGTGAGAAGTAGTTCCAGATTTAAGAGTTTGAAATTAGTTTCCAAAGTAAGATACCATAAATCCTCTATTAAGCCCCCCTCTCAAATAAGCCCCCTTTCTCTACTAACCCCCCTTTTTAGGGGAAGAAAGTTAATAAGCCACCATCCCCCTCTCTTTTAAGCCTCCTCTCCCCTCCTAGCAATGGGAGAAATTTATATTTCTGATGGGGTGCTTCTTATAAGGCCTTACTTTTGAGTTATAACTTAAGTAATAACTCAGAAGTGCAAGGTTCGAGTTGGTGAGGGTTTGAGTTATCAGGAGTCAACTGTAAGAACCACCTTATCAAAAGCACCCCCATTAGAAACACTGATAAAAGTCAAATGATTTTAAAGTTTACCAGTGGCTGCTGGGAATGGCTTTCATGTTTTACTATTCTGCATCATTTGATACCTTTTGATGTCATCACAGCATTTGAATCTGTGTATAAAATCATTCAAGTAAATTCACATGTCTTTTGTGGCTTGATTGACCATTGTAAAATGGTGAGCCTCTCTCCAGTTGGAGACATAAAAATGCTGTTCCCAATTAGTACTTCCATGCAAAATACATTGACACTCAAATAAAGTGCTTTTTTTTTTTAGTATGAGCCACGTGGCCTGCCATGGATATTTGGCACAGTAAATGACCTTAACTGAGACGTTATATTTTGTAATTATATATTTTAATAGGTGGCAGAGTAAAGCAAGCACAGCCTTTCAAAGGTTTTGGTTCTTTTGATCTTGGTGGAGAATTTATCCATGGATCAAACACTGTTGTTAATAAGCTTGCTCTTGATAATGGCTGGCTGGTCCTTCCTGTAAGTACAACATATGTACTAGTGACTCTTACTGCCTCAGTTTCTTGGTGCTATAGCCCCACAGAGGGAGATACCAGTGGAAGGTCTAGAAGAGGTGCCCCCGGGGGTTACTGGGGTAAATTTTTGCTGGGTATGTGCCGCTGGCATCTCAGAGCCCTTACCCCATTACAGTCTATTCTGTGACCAATAATAGACCCAATCTTAGTCAGTTATGGGCAAATATGTAATTTTTGCGATCCCAACTAAGTCACTTTCTATTTTTATGAATTGACCCATTTTTTAAACTGAATGAAGAACTCTTCAATTTTCACCTACAGTGCAAACATTCTGGTACTTGGCTAACTGTAAATGAAGTATTGTGTTACCCCCAAAAATCCGAAAATGTGCAACCCCATTCTAGTAACTCTATGGAAAATGCGACTCCATTAGTCAATCCAGTCATGAAAATACAACCCCATCCAGCAGCACATTCCCTTTAGCCTCCTCCTCGGAGAGGTGCCCAAGTGATTTGCCACCTTTTTTGGACCAAAAAAAGACCACAAAACCAGCTTAATTAGGAGATTTATCTTCAATAGCAGGCTCACCTTATCCAGGCCTCTAAATAACCTTTTCCATATTAACCCTTTAAGCCCCAAGATCCACATACAAATTCTCCAAACTGATCTCCATACATTTGTTTTAAGAATGGTTGAGAGAATTTGGTTTAAGATCGAAGTGTTCTCCCTTTAATAATCAGTTTAGTAATTCTCATAACCTTTAATCTTGATGATCTGCTGATGATGTTTGGAGAAAATTAACGTTGGTCACTCTTGGGACCTAAAGGGATAAAGTGGATGCCAATGGTGAAAAAAGGCGGCAATGATAAGGAAAGGGACTGTAAGGCCCCCTCTCCCTAAAATCTTAACAGACAGCAATGGTGCCGCAACATTGCATTGAGGGGATCGGGGGGAGCTTCATTTTCACCTTTTGAAGCCGGTAAAACGTCAGAAACGCCCTTTAGGGCACAGTGTCTCAACTAATTTTGTCGCCAATTGCAGCTTTTTAATATTGAAACCCTTGCCCTTTGTATGTGCCGCCCAGGACTCCAAATTTGCACCCCGTTCTAAAAAAAAATTTCCCCTAAAATTGATACCCCGTTCTAGAAATGGGCCAATTTTTTATACCCCGTTCTAGAATTCGCCCTAAAACTGATACCCCGTTCTAGAAATGGGCCAATTTTTTATACTCCGTTCTAGGGTGCAACAAGAGTATAACAGTTTGCTTGTTAACACATTGAACCCTATTTTTAAAAGCAACCTGTCCTTGAATAATTTCAAATGGCTACTTACAAAACTGGAGCTTTCGTGCTTTCGAAATATAATACCCCGTTCTAGAAAACGCCTCTGAAATGGATACCCTGTTCTAAACCAGGAGCTTCAAAATCACGACCCCGTTGGCCGGCACATACCCGTATAGGTAATGTATGGGAGTACCCCCCCACCCCGGGCATATGCCTAACCGCAAGGAAGGCAACTGGCCGCGGGATTTTAACGCCTTAGGCAAATGCCTCCTGTGAATTCCTGCACCGGCCTAAGCCTCTCATGATCTGTTGCAATTTGTTTGGTATAAAAATCAATACCCTTGGTTAATAATCCTCAGATCACAAATATAACCTAGCTTGACACCCAGCTTAACTCTATGATGGTCACTAGCTATCATTTTAACGTTTCAAATTTTACTTGAAAACTATTTATGTTCCTGAGCTGCATAACGTTTTTCCCCTAAACCTTGCAGGCAGCCCAAAGTGAACATGAAGAAGAAGGTGAAAAAATTTACTATAAAGGAAAATTTTACTCTCTGTCCAGCAACCAGCCAGAAATTAAAGTCGCCAGAGATACGTGGGAAGAAATAATCAGCACTAGATACAATCACCAAGGTAATGAGGATGGCTCGCTGTCAGATTCCCTGAATGACAGGCTTCAAGACCATGGATTGTCGCAGGATGTTTTGGACATTATTGACTACTGGAAACTAAAGATTTCAGCTGGGTCTTTGACACATTATGGAGTACGTGAAGGAAGAAGGAGAATGGAATCGAAATTTGAGTGGGGTCTTGGAAATTGCAGGTGAGCTCAGTACTTTGTAGGTCGTACAGTATGACTTGATAGTATGTCTTCGGACAAAGTAATGGTTGTACTGTGCAAGGTGGTTCTAACTTTTTGAATTCAAGGATGAACTTGTCAAGTGTGGCCATTCACATTAAAGCGTTTGAGCAGTGCTTTCCTGTGGTACTGTTTATTGTGCTTCAAAAGGTGGTTTTGCTTTTGAGTTGGTGGATGAAATCCTAAAGTGTGACCATTCAACTGAAAGCTTCTGAGTATTCCTTTCCTGTGTTACTTTTTATTATGCTGTACAAGGTGGTTCTAATTTTTGAGTTTGTTGATGGAGTCCCTCTCGGGGAGCTTGTCCTTACTTTTTACCTGTGTTTGACACTTCAGACTTGCTGAATCGTATTCCCAACTGGTAAAGTATTACTTAGATAACACCACAGATGTGGATAAACGACTCAACTGGCAAGTTAAGAAAATCGTTTGGAAAGGTAAGGAGTATAAACAGTCGTCTTTTAGATACTGAAGTAGACAGTATGTATGTTTGATTCTGTAACTGTCATTTACGTTAACTGTTCTTGCTATGCTTGAATGGACAAGGTGTGCAATGTTAAAGTTCGTTTTAAGTTAAACTGCAGTGCATCAGTTTACTTTCACGCACCCGAAAGCGCGCGAGTAGCTCGAGTCTCTATGTTCGACACACATGCCTCTTCCGACTCTCTTTGTTCGTTATCACACTTGTTTTAAAAGTCTGGCTTGAGGACCGTATGCATTCGTATAAAAGACTTAATGACTGTATTGCAGTCTAAGGTGTTACTGCTATTCTGATTAAAAAATGAAGGACGTATTACTGAAAAAAAGCTGTGATGTCACGGACGACAATTTTTAATAATAATAATAATAATAATAATAATAATAATTATAACAATCTTTGTACAGGGAGCTCACTTCACAAAGAGTGATACTCAGTGAGGCCCTGTAAAACAATAGAAAAAATAAATGATCTTAGATAAATGAATACGTAATACAGTCGACTCTCTATAAGACGGACACCTCTGTAAAACGGACACCTAGAGTTGGTCCCTGCCTTTCTTAGCTCCCTCTATTTGACTTTCTGTAAGACGGACATCTCTCTAAGACGGACAGCTAGTGCCGGTCCCAAAGGGACTTGACTGTAGTAATGACAAGTAAAAGTTAAGAACAAAAACTTAACTAATATAAGCTACGGGTTGAAAATGATAGAATGTCAGATAGACTCTCAGATAGATTAAAAGTAAATATTAAAAGCTATAAATATCTAAAAATACAGCTTTTACTGTTCTGTTTAAAAAGAAGAGGAGAATTGATTTCTTTAAAAGATGCGTCTAAAAAGTTCCATTCCTTAGCGCATTGATAAAAGAGTCTCTGCTTTTCGAAATTCCTTTTAACGAGAAGAAGACGCAGTATGTTTGTGTTAAAACCCTACAACTTGAAAAGACGTCAGAACGTTTTAGAAGACAATTTAGACTCGTGGTATTCCCAAAAATTAATACTAAAAAATGTGAGGCCGAGAAATGGTAGTTTTATAAAAGGTAAGGTCGTTTCATTGTTTTCATTTTTCCTCGTGTAACTATTGTGGACTAAGGCCCAGTTCATACGTTGTGTTTCTGCCATGCCGACTTAATTTTTGAATAAGTTTGACAAAAGCACTGTGGAAGCACGACGTAGGAACTGGGCCTAAATTTCGGCGGAAAAGTATCTAAAATGTATAAACGGTCTGGATAACGTCCGTCAAAGGCTTAGTTTGGGATTAACTTGCTTCAGGTCAGGGAAGTCTGGTTTAAAACGCTGACATAACGGTGTAAAGTCGATTTTCTATGCAACATTTTGTTTTGAAACATTTGCAACTCTCCGCTAAGAAGTATTTATTTTGACGTTAAGTGAGCGCTATATTTTTTGCAGATGAAGACAGGCATAGATTAAATGCTGGTGGAAGAATTCTTTTGAAGAATCAACACGGGGAAATTATAACCGCTAAATACGTCGTCATTACTGTTCCGCTTACAGTCCTCAAAGATAGGGACATCACTTTTGTTCCAGAACTTTCCGCTAACAAAAACGGAGCCATAAACACGATCCAGATGCTTGGAGCATGGAAAATTATTTGTCAATTCAAACGCCGGTTTTGGCCCGAGAAACTTCATCAAATTTACAGTGTACGGGGATTTACAAGTGAAATATGGATGTGGTCGCGTGACTCGGCTGTTAATGACGACAAGTGTCACGTGGTTGTTGGGTTTGAAACTGCTGAGTCTGCGGAACAGAAAAGTAGCCTCAGCGGTCAACAGGTCTTGGAGGGGTTCTTGGGCTATTTGGATGAGATGTTCGGGTAAGAAAATTTTGATATATGTAAGTAACTTAAAATTTTTCAATGAAAACGCCGAGGTCGCTTCGTGGTAAAAGGAAACAAAAAGTCAGTGTTTACGAAAAAGAACGGCCCTATTCTTCGTGAAATGAAAACTGCTCATAATCCCTTAGCAGGTATAGCAGAGCAATACACTTTCCAAAGCATTACACCACTGAGTCCTGCAGCCCAATGTATGCCTATTATTGGCGTCTAGTTCACCAAGCTCAACTTCCTCTCATTATTGATCACCTTACTGGAGTTTTTCGGCATCTTAGCAGTATACACGACACGTGTCACAAATAAAAAAGGCCTAACTCCTCATGAGTCTCCCCTTAGCTAAGTGCGCCCCTTCGGTATTATTATTATTGTAATTATCGTCATTAAACAAAGCATCTGTATGGCTTGCTGGAGTCTTCCTTAAACATCAAGTCACCACGCGTGACCTTAGGTGTCCGGCTAAGACTGCGAAGGATTCTGGCTGTACCCAGTATAAGCGCGCTCTCTGCAATGATTCTAAACGGCATGTGACACCATTCTCTGTTAACCACTTTTCTATGTCTTTCGAGACAGTTCCTAATGCACCAATTATGACTGGCGCCACAGTTACTCTGCGCAATTTCCAGATCCATTTAAACTCGCGCTTCAGTTCTTGGTAGTTCTAAATTTCTTCTTTCTCCTTCCCTTTCACTCGGATGTCAAATGCACAAGCAACGTCAAAATTAGGCACTTCCGTTCTATCTTATCCAATACCACAATGTCAGGCTTGTTGTGTTCAACCTTGTTGTCAGTCTGTATTTTGAAGAAGTCCCACAGCAGCTTGTTCAGTACTGGATTCATACACTGGTCGTGGCTCGTGGTTGTAATATTTTTCTTTCTTAAGACTTGGTCTTGTTCTTCGATAATCATACCCTCCATCTCCTTCTTTAGTCTTCCCTTTTTCAGCCACTCCCACGTCTTTTATCTCTTATTAGTGTGTTCCTCCAAAACTGCCCTTAAAGTTGTTTCTACTGAAAGCGCTTTTTTCTTTCTTGCTGTAATGATGCGTCTTCACAACTTTCGCACAATATCTCAGAACCTCTTCATTGTACACTGCCTCGAACAGGGAGCCGTTACAACTCTCAACATACCTGCTAAGTCTATTCATCTCACTATTTGCAGAGTCGTCAACACTCATTAATCCTCTACCGCCCTCTGATCTTTTAAAGTAAATCTTGTCAAAATCAGCCTGCGGGTGCAAAGCATGATGTAGAGTCGTCATCATCATCATCATCATCATCATCATCATCATTATTATTATTACTAACATTATTATCATTATTATTATTTTTTACAGCACACCCAGCGATGCTCGTCCTGCAACCGATTCTTTCCTAGACTACGTGTATTTTCATTGGTCAAACCATCCCTACATTCGCGGTGGATACACATCCCCTACTGCCAACGCGTACGATCTTCGTCACGTGATTGCCACTCCTGTTGAAGATCGCTTGTTTTTTGCGGGTGAAGCTACAAGTCTTCGATCGTGCTCAACTGTACCAACTGCGATAGAAACTGGAATCCGCGTGGCCGATCAAGTGTGTCTCGCAGCTGGAAAGAGTCTTTGTTCTAAACTTTAATCAGCGTTGGTTTTGAAAATCTCGTTTTCTTTCTTAATGAAGTTTAAGATATACATAATATCATCAAGTCCACAGCAACAAACCAATGAGTGGTGCCCGATCTCCCAGTTGTAGACCTGGATCAGTACAATTAAACTTGTAGAAAAATATGAAACGGCAAACTGATCCTTACGGCAAAGCTTTTAGTTTTATTTTCATTTTTCTTTTAGCCGCTGCAGAAGGTTTGTTTCCAAACCGAAATATAAATAATGTATTTTTTTGTTTTATTCTTTTGTTTACTTCTTGATCGCCTTGCCGTAAGGATCAGTTTGAAGTTCAAGACTCGGGCTTGAAAAACATTTCATTCAGTCAGTTCTTTGGAATTTAAAGAACCTAGTGGTAAATCTTACTAGTTACTTTCTGGAGACATCTTTCAGTGTTGCGAAAGTCGTTTTTAGTGGACTGACTTGATTGAACCTTGGGGGTGGAAAACTGGTCCACCGTCCCGTCACCGTCAGGCTGAAAAAGGGAAAAACCCTCAACCACTGCTTATAAGTGCCCTCAGTTATACACCCATCTACCCGTAAACAAAAAATACTTCCGATTATAACCCCCTCCAAATGCATTGTTTGATGCTTGACCGAAACGCCAGAAATGGATAACGTATTTTGATCATCACTGCTGTATTTTTATTTATTCATTATTTATTTATTTAATTTCTTTTTGGAAGGGGGGAGGGGAGAAATCCTATAAAGGATTTGAAAAACTGCTCTTAAAAACAGCGCTCTTGCCACGTACGCATATTCAGCATAAAAAGGACAACTGGTCTCGAGAATGGTCTTTTGCGGGCTTCCCAGTCAGACGGTATAAATACGAAATTCGTAAAATCCGGATTTGGATTTCTTAATTGAAACGCGTTACCCATCTCGAGGACGGATTTCTCGTGGTTAAAATCCGTTTTTGGATTTTTCGTTCGATTCCAAAATCAGAAATCAGGCTCAAAATACAAATTCAGTATTTCCCAATCGAACCCACCCTGGATGCCGGGAAATTTCCATTTCTCGAGGACAGCTCAAAATTTTGTTAAAAAATTCGTGCTGAGTGTTAGTTGGCCTATGCGTCTGGGTGATTAGAACCTGTTTTGTTCACCTAAGAATTTCGTGACCTTTTTTTATCTTCAGGTTTCCCAAAGGTTAATAATACAGTGCAATCCAGTTTTTCCAACAAAAAGCGATTCGCCTGCATGGAAATCACTTAATTTAATCCCCGATTTCTCCTACCAGCAATTTTCAGTTTCGAAACTCCCAATATGTACAGTGGAATCCCGGATTTTTCTATGATATCTTCACTTTGCTCGACCGATGCAACATTGGAGGGTCTTTACTCTTATGATATTTGATTTGTAATTGAGTCGTGCTCAATAGTGAAGTAAGTAATGGCAACAGGACTGATTGGAGTCCAATTCGGTCTGTAATCATACGAGTGATTAACAAAATCCGACGACCGCGTAGCGGGAGTCCGATTTCTTTAATCGATCACGAGTGATTTTTAAGTGCGCGCTTGATGGCGCGTACTGTCCAATTACTTAGGCATGACGCGTACTGTCCTATTAAACTGTCCAATTAAGGCTGAAATCAGGGCAGTTGATAGCCAATCAGATTTGACAATTTTGTTATAATTATGATTATGAGGATTATGACTTAATGCATTGATCCGAAACGTATATTAATATACGGTATACCGCCCTTAATATAATTGCGCTTGCGCAAAACCTCGGATTTGGCCTCAATTCCTTAATATAATTGCGCTTGCGCAAAACCTCGGATTTGGCCTCAATTCCTTGCTAACAGCAAGTGGTAACGTTGCGAGTATGCGCGAGCCGCTGGACGGAAGTTTGTGGTGGTATTCTATCGCAGCGAATGCAGCAAAGAAAAATGGCGCTTCTTTTAAAAATTACCATCGTCTTAGTCATCTGTTCTATTTTTGTGGAGTGCAGATAAGGCAAAGTCTTCTTTGTAATATGCGAGATTGGTCTCAAGGCTAAGAAGTCGCAAATCACTCACAATTTTGAGCGGTTTGTGGTCCATGAGGGATTATTGTTTCGTGTTTTGGATTGCGCGCGGACACGTCGATGGGGTTCTGTGTAACAGCTGCAAAACTCCTCTGTTAAACACTGGATAACTGGGAAAAAATCTCTTCATGTAAGTTGTGATCGAGTACAAAACGTCCGACGCTTACGATTTGAATAAAACGCTGTGAAAAAAAAGTCTAAATGCTAGTCTGTTTATATAGTCATAACTGCAGTTCTTGCGACAATCCCCTTGCAATAATACGATTTCACGTCAGTTATGGTTCAGGAACGCCCTGTTTTTCAGAGATGTGCAACCTTAATGCAGTGATTCTGCCAGTGATTACTTTTCAGAGATACCCCATCCTAACCACCAGTGGCCAAAGCAGGTGCAGTGCCCTAATTCTGCGACTGATAAAATTTCAAAGATATCCCACCCAGGGCTATAAAATTGTAAGTTTCCTTTTTTGACTAGATGATATAAAACTGAAGACCCAAACTCAAGAAATGACATCTATTAAATCTATGTGATGCCTTAACTTATTCAGGGGTGTAGGCAGAATTTTGTAATATGGAGGCTCTTGACTCCAAGATGTCCCTTATACTTCTAAAATAAAGAATTAGATGAGCCAAAACAGGAGTGTGGTATAAGATGTTTCATATTACAGACGTGTTTTAATTCATGAAAAATCCTTCCCTTTACTCCCCACACTTCTACATACTAGAAAATTGCAAATATGCACACAACAGTGAAAATACTTAAAATAGTAAAGATCATAGTCATATCTAAAACTGCTTTTTCTCTCTGAGACATTGAAGTGAATTTTCTGCTTCTGATACTTCCATGCTTGCACTCATTTTTGCTTTTCATAAATTTTGTTTTTGGTATTTTCTACTGCACGTGTGTTAATTATTTAAGATATAACTAATAAGGCCTAGTTCCCTTGACTAGCCCATCTCTGGGCTAAGATTAAAAAATTGAAAATGAGAGAAAATTAGCTCTAACTTTTCCTTTTCATTCAATTTCAACATGAGGAGAACTTAAGGATCTTAAAGCCTGATATTTATAAAGTCTGAGGTTATGGTAGCTTCAAGTGAGCCAATGTATGACTCATTAAAATTAAAGCTTGTCTGTGTGTCTTCTGGGGCACCAAGGCTATTTGATGCAGCTCAGGATGGAGTGACAAACCCTTCACATTCTGCAGACAGCATAGGGTAAAATAAAAAACGGATAGCCGCCATTTTGTACCAGCTCTGCTATGGCTTGAGTGAAAAGTGCGACTGGTTTAAATGTGACAATGCAGTCGTCCTCAATGACTATCACCTGAATCAACAAGGTTTAGTGCTGAGCATCTCATAGGGAGCTCCTGCAACAGGAAAAAGGCAAATGAAATTTTTCATAACTTGTCATCTTGCGACACCAGGAGCATCAATGAGCTTGTTTCAGGGGCAATTTTACATAAATTGCAACTTGTGCAGCCTATGATATATGACTATATACACCACTACAGTGTATACACAGCCAAACCGACATTGGCAAGCCAAGTGCTCCTAAATTCATGTGCACAAACACTGAATATATGAGACCCAGAGTATCAAAAGATCTATTTTTATCGGAGAGTGAAAAGTTACCCCTGTGGCATTTAGTTGTTGCCCAAAACTACCCGCACAACTAGCGATACCCCTTTAGATATTTCAGGATTTCTAAAGTGTCATGGATACAAACTTATATTCAAGAAGGAAAGAAATCTTTTGGATAGAAAAGGAATAATAACATTCATGATTTTTGTAAGCGTACAAATACATTGTATGTGATGAAGCTAATTCTTATGTGGATGCCAATGTAAGGAATCAAATACAGGGATTTCATGTCCAGTGTTGTCTGTACTTCAAACAAGAATGGCAGTCCAGCAAGTGCAAAGGTGAACAAGGGCAAGAATTGTTTTGCACTTGAACTTGTGCTAGTGTCAAAGTGGGAGTAATATTGTAATGGTGATATGAAAATGCATTAAATCACACTTATTAAATCACTTTTATAGTAGGGCTGGGAAAAGAATGCACATATGTGTATTTTCATATTTTATATTGATTTCAGTTATGTTTCAAGACATTATGTAAACATTTTAAGCATAACATTACAATTCTTTTAGGCGCCAATTTTGTATGTATAAACAAATCATCATTGAATAATTATCAGAATAAAATCATCTTCCAAATGGTGAGGGTTGTTGTCAGTGAATCTGAGAGCTTATGTAGTGCATGATTATTAAAACGTAAATTCATCAGTGTTCCCCCCCTTGGATGCAAAATCAAACATTCAAGAATGAAAGAGTGTTCCGAAACAATGCTCTTACAAATAAGTTTTGTTGGGATATACTTTTACATGTTAACGAAAAATCTAAAAACAAGGTTGAAAAGGACAAGAAAAATTTGTCCATCTTTAACGAAGTTTTAGCAAATAGTATTTCACAATCCACCACCTCGATCTCTTAATCTCTGAGAATAAGTAATCGCCATAGAGCACCAATGTAAACCAGAAAAGCAAATTTTCGAAAATGGAAGGAAACATCCGACTATGGCCCTTCTTTTAAGAGTGGGAAATTTGCTTGTTGATTTCATGCCGCTAAATAGTATCAAAATACTCAAACTTCCCCCCTTTGAATTAACCATTAAAAGTGAAAATACGGAGTGACCGAAAGAGAAGTTTAACCTGTTTAGTCGCTTGTGTGGGATATATACCGTATTTATTCGAATAAGCGCCCAACCTCGAATTAGCGCCCACCTCGAATAAGCGCCCATCCTAAAGGCAGAAAAAGGTAATAAGCGCCCACCCTCGAATAAGCGCCCACCCCACCACACCTTCCTCCCACTCCCACTCAAACTCAAATTAGCGACCACCCCTAAAATTGAATAAATACTAATAAGAGACTTCCTCGAAGACGGAGTTTTCTTCAAAGTATTTTACAGGAACCTTGCTTTGTTACATCTTCGCGTTCTGTTATTACCATTTATTGTTTTGTTGGAAAATACACATACTACACTTGCTGAAAATGTTGAAAATTTAATAAGCGCCCAGCCTCGAATAAGCGCCCACCTCGAATAAGCGCCCACTCTCAAGGTCCAAAAATTTAATAAGCGCCCAGGGCGGTTAATCGAATAAATACGGTAACTGGATCTCGCTGTACGGTCAGGGTCAAATACTACAAAAATACCGGGGTCACATAAATTATGTTGAATTCAGGCTGCTATAATTTTAACACATAACATTCGATGATGCTGCTCCACATTTCACAAAGTAAATCAAGGGGTATATCTTACCTAAATGTTAGGCAGCTCTGCAGATCGTGGACGATAACCCAGAAATCCGTGACCGCTTGAATGTCAACAAATCAACAGATCACAACAAACGACCTTGTGAACGCTTTATCTGCTTCATCAGAGGATCCAAATGAATGAAAATTAACCACCTAAATGGTCCTTCTCCCATACATGACACTTGAACATGGCTTAGCCAAAGTATCCAATCTATAAGACATGTCTGTTGTCGATTGGGTATGCAAAAAAATCTCCCT